CCTAGCACTCGGCAAAGAGTTTTTTTTAAAAAAAATCTTTGCCGAGTGCCCCTGGACTGGCACTTAGCAAAGTGGGGTTTTTAATTTTTTTTTAAAAAATTCTTTGCCGAGTGCCATACGTCCTGGCACTCGGCAAAGTGATGATTTGCCGAGTGTTATTTTTGACACTCGGCAAACCAATTTTTTTCTTACTTTTGACCTCCAAACTTTTTCTACAGTTCTCATACAATACCGTATTCCATGTTCCAATGTGGCACATTTTTTGGACTTTTTCTATATTTCTTTAATTTATTTCATTTAATTGAATTTTCTTGGATAATTCAAATTATAACTGCTAGTCATTCGAATAATGAAAAAATGAATGGAAAAATGATATTCATGTTATTTAGTATAATGTGAGGCCGTATCCAGGAACAGACCACCAATTTTGAACATCTTGTTCATGAAACATGACCACGAACTTACGGTCGAGTTGTTTTTAAATTCTATAAAAAACAAACGAAGTCCAAAATCATGAAACTTGTTAAGATGTCATGATATCATATGTGGAGGCTATGATAAAAATTTGAGAAGGTTTCGCGTAAGTTGTCATGTACGATGCTTACAACCTCGTCGGCCTCTTCACGAAATCATGAAACTTCTTCGGAGATTCTTCAGTTTACAAGCATCGTATGTGACAACTTGCGCGAAACCTTCTCAAATTTTTATCACAACCTCCACATATGATATCATGACATCTTGACAAGTTTCATGATTTTTGGACTTCGTTTGCTTTTTATAGAATTTAAAAACAACTTGATCATAAGTTTGTGGTCATGTTTCGTGAACAAGATGTTCAAAATTGGTGGTCTGGTCTTAGATACGGCCTCACATTATACTAAATAACATGAATATCATTTTTCCATTCATTTTTTTCATTATTCGAATGACTAGCAGTTATAATTTGAATTATCCAAGAAAATTCAATTAAATGAAATAAATTAAAGAAATATAGAAAAAGTCCGAGAAATGTGCCACATTGAAACATGGAGCATTAGGTATTGTATGAGGACTACAGAAAAAGTTTGAAGGTCAAAAATGAAAAAAATATGGATTGCCGAGTGTCAAAAAATGACTCGGCAAATCACCGCTTTGCCGAGTGTCAGAAGAAGACACTCGGCAAAGGGTTAACGACGGCGGCCCTTTGCCAAGTGTTATTGTTTGTCGAGTGCTCGACACTCGGCAAACCATCTCTTTGTCGAGTGCTTTCTCTTTGGCACTCGGTAAACAGCCTCTTTGCCGAGTACTCGATAAAAAGCACTCGGCAAAAAAGCCATCTCCGATAGTGAAGAGCCCACTAGAAATTTTCACGTATGTGTGCTACTCTTTTGTACAAATATCGGTGTATTTGATGTATATATACATAAATTCCAGCCCAGCCACTAGATCCAGCCATACAATAGCCACATATCGGTGTATTTCACATATATATACATAATATACTAGTCTACTTGTACAAATTTTAGGTATGGCAACAGCCAAACCTTGCACATAGCTGCCTTCGCCCGTGCATATATGAGTTACTTATAGACCTCCCTATATATACTTGGATTTTTGTGTCACTTGATGCCAAAAATCAAGTGTGCATTGTAGGAGTCTCCTTTGCAATGTACTCTATTGCCAAATAGTATTAATGTGTTAGAGTTGATGTAGCCCCATTTTCTTGGGTATTGTATGGCCATTCATTCTTTTTAATTTCAATCCAAAATGGTTAGTGACAAAAAATATCCGAAGATAATTTGTTCTGAAAATGTATCTTGCTACTTTGCTTTTATTAAGTGAAATACTAAAGGAAAATTTTATTAGAAAAGAGGGTGAAAGCCCGGGTTACCTCCAGATAGTGCTTTGTTTAAAGTCAAAATCTTGGCCCATGGAAAACCTTCAACTTATAGCTAACATTGGTGATGTGGTTGCCCTCTCCATCACCAAACTTTGACCTAGCTACAAGACTTTTGCCAAATAATTACGAGCTTGGTAAATTTTTATCTATGTGTTATATTGAAATTCTAGTGATTATTGTATGTTTTATACAAAAAAATTTATATTTTATTTTATAAAAAAAATAATCTAGGTCCTAAGCTACACTTACTACAGTTGAATGAATAGTCCTTTTCAACTTGTACCGTGGCAAAATATATTGAATTTTATACAAAATAGTTATATGTGTAATAGTATTATTTTATAAAAATATAGAGTGCTTAACATTAAGTTACCAATATTAATATGGCATAATATTTTAGCTAAAATGTATAAGTTTTTGTCGAAACGATAACTTACAAAAATTATTATCATAGAATGTTAAAATAATTTAAAGTGAATTGTCAGTGCTATTGTTATTATTATTGACATATGGGATTTGTTTTTTTTTCGATGAAAGAAGAATTATATTAGATAATACATGAGTACATCAAAACGTTACAAGCACTCTGATTACACAAATATCTAGATTTTCATCTATATTGTACCCACACTATGAATAGCTCCGGATCTCAAAACCAAACCTACACGATGCTTTGCAGTATGGATGACCGTATAGGCAAACACTTGGCAAAAGGCCTGAGAACAGATGTCCAACGAACGACGACCAACATTCATGTAGGTGGAGTTGAGAAACTTCTTCTTTCTGGTGTCTTTCTTCTTCTTTCTGCCACCAAAAATGAGGAAGATTGATCTAAAAAATTATTCTACCTAGTCCTTTATCATGGCCAGATCTAACCACGACAAAATGGAGAAGAGATCAAAGAAAATTATTCTATGGCGGTGACATCATCTCTACCTTGATGTCGCCGTCCGGAAAGAAAGGTCTCTATGTCGTCAAGCCGGTGGGATTTGTTAGGAAAACATGTTTCTACACTTATTAAACTATTAAAATAATCATTTACCCAAACGAATACATGTTAACTTCCTCTATATGGTGGAACATAGTATGCCTACTTTCAACTTATCGGTAGTAGAAATGTGTAATTTAGAAATACATATAGTGCACTTTTATAGCGGTTGAATGTTATATTAGTATTTACATGTAGGTTTAAGAGGTATTTTTGTTTAATTTTTATACTGGGGTATGTGGATAATTTGGATGCAAACTTTGGTTTTTTGCATGATAGAGGTGGGTAATTTATATACAAAATTAAAGTGATATTTTAAATTATCTTTCATAATAACATAAGTGGGTAGTTTAAATAAAATTTATGGTTTTTTAATTTATATATCATAATGCCATAGGTGGGTAATTTAGGTATAAATTTAGGGGATTACTTTATTTTTTTCCATAGTGTGAGAAGTGGATATTTTTTATAAAATAAAATAGATCTCATCGCTATTATTGATAATAATAGTTAGAGTATATTGAATTAAAGGCTAAATGTCTCTGATTATTGTGATAGTTTTTAGAATTTTTTATAAATAGAATGATGATTAGACCTATGCCAAATGGAACCGGCGATGATGCATGGATTGCGAGATTCTACACGCCACACGAGTCGATCAATTCAAACTGGCATCGATGTGTTGCTGAATTCCGCAGTTTGCTAGGGCCTTCTCCCTGCAATTCAGTTGACTGAACACGAGTACTTCTTCCGTCTCTAAATAACTGTCGTAGTTGATGTGTGTACCGTAAGTTTTACTCGATTTGTATAAAATACGTACAACATTTGTATCTTAAATAAATTTATTAAAAAAATAGATTCAAAGATCTTTCCACTATACTAATTATGTACCATAAATATTAATATTTTTTAATATATATTTAGTTAAAATTATTTCTCGTAAAAGCGAAAACGATAGGTATTTACGGACAGATGGAGTAGAAGAAGGTCACGTACTCACATGTTACATGCCAGTCCAAAAACCCAGCTAAAATATGCTCCAAGGACGAGGGAGATCTCAATTCTCAAATTAAGGCATATTCTCTCGTGCAGGGGTGGAGTGGACATGTGCTCAGTGCTCTTGGCTTGGTCGTCGTCTTCGTCGAGGTAGAGTGATTAATGCAGCTTGTATCATTATAAAATTAGCGAGTGAATAATTGTTCAACTAACCTCCTGCTAATTTCCTAGTTATGGCCGTGGTTGCTCGCATGACATACCGTGCCCTATTTCAGTCATATAACAATTTCATATGCGTTTTCCCTGGTGTTCTCTTTTAGTAGAACGGGGCTTCTTTTTTTTTACCATTGACAAGAAATGGTCTAAAAGGTTTTTTAAAAACTTGTTTCAAATGCAAATACTCCTGTTTAAGAAGAACTGTACTGGAACCAAACTACTTTTTTGTTGGATCCCATTTTTTCCTGTTTAATCCATGTCTTGCGGCGCCTAACTCCATTTTTTCCTTTCACCTTCGGCTTCAAATAAGCAGCCGTCGAGCCCCCACCCGCCCGCAAGAGACAAGCACCCACGCGCCAGCGCAAGAACTCGGGAAAGGGAACTGTCAGAAAAGCCGCCCTTTTCCTTGTCTTGTTTACTCGGTTTCCTTGGTGCTCCCGGCGATCCCCTCCTAAGTCCAACCACGCCGCTCTAGATCTCTCCGACGTGCTCTGCACTTGGGTTTCGCCGAGCTTCTTGGGAGTGCAGGTCCCAGAGAACCAGCGCTATAAGAGGGGGGAACCAACTCCATCTCCCCCCTGGTGCCGCATTGAGTTCTTGAGGTGCGCTTCATTGAGGACTTGTCCATTTTTGTTGGTCATGTATGTCATTTTATTGTTCTGGCCTTTTGGGAATAAAGGCCCGGAATGTTCTTATTAGAAGAGTTCATCAATCTTATGTTCTTTGTTCCATTATCTAAAAAATCAATCTTATGTTGGTTTCTTGGATTAGTTCTGATCCATGGCTAAATGGTCGAACTGAGTGATTATGCAGTCCGTTTCATCATAAAATTAGCGAGGGAATAATTGTTCGGTCTCTTCCCAGAACTCATTACAAGTTGAACCAGCTGCTAACTACTGATTTTCTTTTTCTTAGATTAGAATGGCTGGGGTTATCTCTCACCAAGCGCTGGCATCTTCGCAATCCCACTGGTGCCCTGCGAAGAACTCTAGATTCGAAAAGAGGACGGGCAGTGTCCGCTTGGTTTATGTAAAGGGAAGCTGTGGTTCAAGCAGCCGAAAACTGGGTTTGGTGTGGGCCTCGAGCTCGCAGTCTTCTGTCATGGAGCCGATGCACCTACCATCGGATGGCAACAGTGGCCACACCCCAAAGAAATCAAGTAATTTTAACGACTTCCATTTGAACGAACTCGTATGGTGGTTACTTGTTTGTTTGTTCGATTGTTTTTGAGAAAATTGGCCATTTGCCACATTTAACTTTGGGCTTCGCAAATTTAGGGCATATAAATAAGTTCTGTTATTCTGTGATCTTTGTGTCGTTGCAGGTGAAAGCGCTCTTATATTGATTCGGCATGGTGAATCCCTGTGGAATGAGAAAAATCTGTTTACTGGCTGCGTTGATGTACCCCTGACACCAAAGGGTGTTGAGGAGGCCATTGAGGCAGGTAAAAGGATATGCAATATCCCAATCGATGTAATATATACTTCATCACTGATTCGTGCTCAGATGACCGCAATGCTTGCCATGATGCAGCATCGGCGCAAGAAGGTTTGTGCGTCTTCCTTTATCAAAAACGTTTTAGCAATTTCTTCTAGCATGTGTATCAAGTTCCCTGAGAAATCATGCTGATGATATATGTATCTACAGATCCCAGTTATCATGCATAATGAGAGTGAACAAGCTCACAGGTGGAGTCAGATATACAGTGAGGAGACAAGGAAACAGTCCATTCCAGTCATAACAGCTTGGCAATTGAATGAACGGATGTAATACTTTCTCCATATTCTTTGATTTGCTAATTATATAATTAATAATAGTTCTTTGACTGTGCTTCTCTCTTGAAATATCCCTTGACATTTCTAGGTATGGTGAGTTACAAGGCCTTAATAAGCAAGAAACTGCAGATCAATTTGGCAAAGAACAAGTTCATGAGTGGCGCCGCAGTTATGATATCCCTCCCCCAAATGGAGAAAGCCTAGAGATGTGTGCTGAGAGAGCTGTTGCTTATTTCAAAGACCAGGTATAGTTCGCAAGGCCATTTTACACTAATTGGAAGATACACTATTTACTTGGATTATTATTGGTCTTGCTACTGCTAACTGTTGTAGTATTGGTAGCTGTGCTAAAGATTATGTGTTGAATTGATGAATTCCTCCACTGTGCAATGCGACAGTGCATGTGCTTAGTTTTCTTTCCATTGTGCTAGTTCATGTCAAATTTATAGCCTGAATTTTTTATTTATCTTCGACTCTAAAAACAGTTTTTTTCTAGTTCAAACTGACCTATAGTCGTTTTTTCCCGTAATAGATTGTTCCACAACTTGTGGCTGGAAAACATGTGATGGTTGCTGCACATGGGAATTCACTTCGTTCAATTATAATGCATCTGGACAAATTAACTTCTCAAGAGGTAATTTACTGTCGTTTTTGTCTTTCCCTCAAAAAGGACTTGGCTAAACAGAACATGTAGCATTATGTCAAATTTGGGAGTGAGCCTTTCGTCCCTTCAGGTAATAAGCCTTGAGCTGTCTACTGGCATTCCCATGCTTTACATATTCAAGGAAGGAAAGTTTATTCGGCGTGGGAGCCCAGTAGGACCTTCGGAGGCCAGTGTTTATGCTTATACCAGGGTGAGGTTCTTTCCCCCATGTTTCTAACAAAGGACGATACTCCATTTTACGAAACTATTTTTTTTTTTGCGAAGACTCCATTTTACGAACCTGATCTGTCAGACCAAACAATTTGCTGAGCACATTACATTTCAAAACAGATTGACCAAGACGATAACAGTTCTGCTGGTCAATATCTGGATGCTCACAAAGCTCATGTATTTGTGTTTTACATGATTCTAACCGTTGAACAATTTAATGAACCTCAGAAAGTTTTACTTAACCTTTGTGAAATGTAAAAAGGACACACAGAAAATCTTCTTATTTAATAAATTGGGTGTTTTTGATGGCAATAGGTTTTGTGCTCAAATTAATGTTTTTAAAATATATTGCTACTTTCACTTTCACAATGTTAAACCACTGTTTCAGGTGGTACTGTGGAAGCCATTATTGACTTAACATTTTTTAAGTGCATGCATATTCCTTTATCTGTGTTATGTGTAACACATACATATTATCTTTTCTTTAGTATTTTTTATGAGTTTCTTAAACTTGATTTCCTTTTTTGAAATTCTGCCATTTATTAATCTATGTGTGTTGTTCGCATTAAACCTGCTTGCAGACCTTGGCTAAATACAGACAGAAGCTTGATAGTATGGTTCAGTAAAAGGTCAGTGAATATTGAATACTCTAGTAAGTTTAGTTCCCATTGAATATTCCAACTGACGCTAACTTTATCATATGTTGTTACCTCATGACGTTTCAGATACTCCACTTGGATCATGACTCAGTATTTCTTTGTCGAGTATATCTGTTCTTTTTTGGAGAAATGGTTAAGCAAATTCTTGGCATGAGGATCGTTTATGACTGGGGCAAAATTCATCAATTGGGAGCTTCTTTTTGTAAACAAACATGTGCAATGGCTTTAGTATGGGGTAGAAGTAGCATCATATGTTGTATATTTAGTTGAATTTGTTGAGAGTGATATACATTTGTTTTTCCATTTTTTGTTTTCTCAAGCTTTCTAGTCCTGAGAGAGAAGCTAGACCTATTTAATCGTGTAGCTCTCTGTCCTATATATTTTAACTTTTTATTGAATAAAACAATAAATGATTATATTTGAAGCTATGGAAAAGTACGATGGTTTTTTAGGGAAAAAATACGATTATTAGTTCCCTGATTTCTTTTAAAGGCCTTGATTTTTTTATAGATCTAACTAAAGGGCCTTGCCGATCTACAGCCTACAGGGAACAAAAAAAGGCCTAATTAGCAGGCGATTTTTTTCAGGGCCCAAACCAAACAAGCCTTACATGGCTGAATCAGCCCACTCAGCCCGGACTCTTCTTCGTCCTTCTCCTCTTGTTCCTCCTCCTCCTCCTCTTCTTCTTCTTCTTTTTTGAAACTGACTCTTCTAGATCCTATAAACACGCACCCGCCGCCGGCCGATTTCGCGGAGCCACAGCCGTCCATCCGTAGCCAACGCAGCCTCCACAACCATAGCTGCCTAATCTCCGCTGTCGATCCAACCATAGCTGACCATGGAGACGAGGAGTCCATCGATCCCATATCGCCGCGAGCAACTCCCGCCGGCAGGGATTGCTTCTCGGAGCCGGCCACCTCTTCTTCTCCCTCACCATCCCCATATTTCCATTGATGCACCAGCTGTAGGGGGGCTGGAGCCCCCCCCCCAGCCCCCCCTTTAGATCCGCCCCTGCTCATCCGAGGTCTCATGAGACACACCAAGAGGGGATAAAAAATAGAAAAACATATAGAAATAGGAAAACAACATGACATGATAGGTTTCACGGGACACAACATGATTGATAGGATAAAAATAGGAAAACTATATAAATAAATATATCATTATATTATCTATATAGGTAATTTTTAAAGGGATATAAAAATGGAAAATCAAAACATAAAAATGCTGCAAAGAGGATTGAACTCGCGACCTTGAACATGGAAGGTAACAGACCTACCACTGGGCTAAGAAGACATAGTCCAAACTTTGGTTGCAAGTTTATTTACCTAATGGTGAATAATCAGTGTTAAGTACAAGGCTGGCCCCACAGGGTATGTCATGGCCCACCTGGCATACCTCGTGGGTCCGCCCCTGGCAGTGGTGGGACGCCTCGGGCCACGGTCATCCCAACTGGGCCTGGTAGCAGTGGTGAAACTCCTCTGTTTCCTGCCACCGGCCTGGAGGAAGATGAAGCTACAGGCCTAGAGGATGAGGACGAAGGGTTTGGTCTTGGGTATTCGGTAAGAAAATTTTCTTCACCGTTTGCTTACTATTGTGATTGTATTGTCTCAATGGTAGTAGGGTTGTTAGGTTGATGGTTAGTGATGATTATTCAGGGTTGGAAGATGTTTTGATTGATCCCATTGCCAATATCAATTGTTGGATTGAGCATGATTGAGTTGTGTTCATGTGAGAAAGATCGTCAGTTCATCACAAGTTAGATTAGTGTGCATGTGAGATTGTTTATGATCATGAGGTGCATGGTTCATGGAAATTAGTGTATGAAACAGCCACACAAGTAGGCTAGACAATAATTGCTCCTGATCAACTGATTGATGCTTGTGGAATGTGTTAATTCAAGTAGGATGTGTTAATTCTCATGTCAGATATTCAAGTAGGCTATGATGACTGACGACGTTGTTTCTGAATTTGCTAAGATGAGGGCATTCCATTAGGCAGTCGACTAGTAGTAATCTGAAGAGGGGTAGTACTTCTAATACAGCTCTAGCCCAAGGAAGAAATCAAAGAGTCCAATGGTCAAGATATGAAGGGCCTTTTAGAGAGAATGTAGTCCAACAGTGTATAGTCCAAATGGTGATGGTTGGGGAATTGAGGGTAGAGTCCATCAAGAAAACGATGCATTTGGCTGTAGAAAGTGGGGCAGCAGATTGCAGCATTGAGCATGTCATGGCTAGTCAACTCTTTTTTTTGAAAGCCAAAAACCGCAAAATCTTCTTCACCTTTGCCACCAATGAAGGAAGTCTAAGTTGGTTAAAGAGGTGGTACTACCATGCAAGGAACATGTACTCCTAGAGTTATTAGTCATGAACTTGTTTGTTGGTTAGAGTACTAGCCTAGTACATTTCATATAAAGAATGGTAATATTGTCTTGTGCCTTAATTTTTTCTTGCTGATGTTGCATGGTAAAAGAATGGGAACTTGGATGTGTATGGTTTGTCCTCTGCTTGCTGACTATTACTGTGTTGGATAGTTGGTCATGATCCAAACAGGGCCATAGTAGTCTGTTCCATAATTCACATATTTCCGAAATACTGCCTACATTAAGGATATACTAGTAGACATGCATGTGCGACACGCACGTGCTATATGAAAAATTTTGATATACAATGAATATGAATCGACTCTATTCATAAACGTATATTGATATATTGTTTGAAACATATATCAATATAAAAATTATGGCAGATTTGTCACCCTACCAATAAAACAATCATTCAAAATAGAGCAATAACAATAAAAACTTTACTAAATGATGCTCAACGTAATACAATTAAATAACTTGAGTTTGAGGCTACAATTAAATAACTTAAGGTTGGCCTCAACAATATCCTTCATCTTGGCAGATAATTTACTTCTATTGGCCTTTGTAGTTAACCACGATCATCGGCTTTTCCCCAGGGCCAACCACGACCTTGAACAACTATAGCTTCATATCACTCTACACGGACGGTTTAGATAACCTCCAACTGATCAACCACTTTGTGCCAGCATCAAGGTGAGCAACATTAGTCACAACATTAGTCAGTAAGGGCATCAAATGAGAGGAAAAAACACAATATGGTAATTGGTTAGTTCCAAGCATTTAACTTTGAGAACTCAATGGCAGGTAAATTTTCGAACCCGCAGTCCAGAATTACAACCCCAACAAAGATGACAATGACAATTTCTAAAGAACACCATTGTATAGTTCAAAAATGTAATTGCACACCGAACAACCCATCTAAGCAGATCTGGAGTAGCTACACCGAGGCAACAATCATAACTACTGATTGCAAATCTGATCGAAAAAACTTAATAGAGTTAATATGTGAGATCAACTTTCACATATTAAAGTAGCCCATATTGGGCTTAGCTTTTTTATACCTGACATAAAATCGAATCCACAGAAAAAAAAATCATAGTTCAATCTCATAGAGGATAAATCCTTCTTGACTATCAATTAACATGTCATGAGAAGTTCGAAGCTTGAGGTGTAATGTATTGCAGTTTAGTTAAATTATTTGGTGATTATCCATATATAACATCATAGAACGTTGTGTTACATAGAAATAAGGATGTGCCAACAGAATTACAAATAATAGATTTTTAAAAATAAACTGATCATAGTACAAATCTGTCCTTCTCTCAATGCGCTTGTGGAAAAAGGTCTGTGTAAGCCTATATAAAGCATAAAAACATTATAAACAGAAACCTAAATGATTTTGTAATTTACCATTTGCATGTGCAATAATCTAATTTCGTTATCAATGTAGTAAAGGATTGACATGGGGAGACAATAAAAAGATATTTGAAAGCTTGGGATATACTTAGAGATCTATATTTGAATAGGAGTGCTTGGAAAGCAGCTATTGAAGTGCCTGAACCGTGACTTAGAGCTCTTGGTGGGTTTCAACTCTAGCCTACCCCAACTTGCTTAGGATTGAAAGGCTATGTTGTTGTTGTTGTGGTGGTGATTATCTATATATAACGTCATAGAACCTTGTGTTACATAGAAATAAGAATGTGCCAACAGGATTACAAATAATAGTTTTTAAAAAATAAACCGATTATAGTACAAATCTGTCCTCCCAATGTGCTTGTGGAAACATGTCTGTGTAAGCCTATATAAAGCATAAAAACACTATAGAACAAGCATAAATAAATCAAACAGAAACCTAAATGATTTTATAATTTACCATTTGCATGTACAATAATCCAATTTCTTTATCAATGTAGTAAAGGATTGACTCATGATTAATGCAAATCTGATATCTAAGTTGCAATCAGGATACATTGTTTTTTTAAATAACAAACAACAATAAGCTAAATTATTGTTGTTCATCGAAAATGAACTTTTGTGCATCAAGGGAGTAAAGTAATTGTCTGCCACTCTCAGGTAGATTGGAGTTTTAGCAAAATTTCTCCACTAAAATAACACATGTTACAGACTTCCGGTGCATTATATGTTGTCTAGGTGAAAATTTTAGGTTCATATAAGTTTTATTTTATAGAATAATAATACTTTGAATATCCTACTGCATATCATAGGTCTATAGT